GATGTTTGGTGAAATACAGTCGAATATAATCTCAAAATGGCGTTTAAATTAGCCTAAATTAAAAATAATCGTATATCTCTTAAAATTGCTTTTAGAATATTAATTAGTATATTTTTTGATTTGGGACCTTCTCCATTCTTCGAGAATGATAAGGCGCATTATCCAACACAATTACTGCGTTTTCCTCTAAGTTCGGTAAAATTTTTGAAAACCACTGTCCAAAAGATTCGCCATTCATTTCCTCGTGGTAATCTCCAGTTTTCTTGGACTCAAAGCACCACAGACCGTCAACAACAAATCCATCCTCACTGCCAATATGGCAGATAATGAGCCTTTTCCCTTTACCTGGAAATCGAAGTACTAACTGGTGTAGATTTATTTCAATAAGCGAACCTTTTTCAAATGTTTTCATCAAATTCAGCGAAAAAACATTGAGACATGAGTATCAGATTGCTATAATTGGGATTACTTAGTCATATTGAAAGAAAGAATATTGAACGTCGTATGATTACTCAGCGCTTCACAATTTAATTTAAAGTTATAAACCTTTAAAAAATGAATGATCAGGAACCTGAAATACGCGCAAATATTAATATTAACAAATTATAACTTTATAAAGCTTAAAGTATGAATTAAAATGATTAGAAATATTAGGAACGGTACACAATATAAAACTTAGTAACTTTTTTTAAGTTTATAATATTCGACATATTTTAAGATTATATTAAAAAATTATTGAAATATCGAAAACACATAAAAAGATGGCTTAAAAAAGTTCTAACAAATGAAAATGACAATTTTATCGAAAGTTATAAAAGTTTTGTTACTTGTAATATGTTTTATCTGTCCCCTGGAATTAATGTTTAGAACCTTGTTCCCAAGGTTAGAAAAACATCCGATTGTTGTCTATTACTCGTATTTACCTGCTGGATTTTTTAATCCGGTGGACAGTCCATCTAGAAAGGCCCTCCTGGATGAAGTTGCAGAATCATCAACCCATACTTCACTTGTAGTGTGTCCTGCGTTTACCCACGTTTCATCAAGGTAATAAATCTTCCTGTTTTGATTTCTATATATCCCAATTTTTGTTAAATAATCCCTCCTCCATAGCACAATTTCTTCTCTATCCAGTAGTAAACTATTACGACCCCGTTTTTTCCATTTGAAATTTAAATGCTTCAGTAACGCATGGAAAGTTGATCGTTTGAAATTTGGCAACATTGTATCTCCATTTACCTCCTGCAGTACTTCTTTATATATAGTAGGTATTTCATTCCTAAAGAAGGATTCATCACTTTCCTCCTAATCGCATGCTTATCAGCTTCATCCAATGATTTAACAATACTTTTGCGATGTTTACTGGTCATTGGCTCAGAAAAGGTGTGATTTTTTTTGTATTGTCTTAACACATTAAACACTGATGCGCGATACACCCCAACTTTGTGAGAAACCTTCACAACAATTTCTTTGATGGTTGATGCCTCGTTCTCCTCGCGCTCGATCTTATATATATTCAAAATGACCTCTTTCATTTCTGCACTCAGGTGTCTTTTTTTAGAGCGTTTCCTAGGTGGACTACAGGAGTTTACAACTTCATCGGCAGTATCTGTACTACTGGGCATTTTGCGCAAGCAGTTGATGACAATAACAATCAATAACAAGGTATAACAATAACAACGACAAACTCAACAACTTAATAAGATAACAAACGAAAACGTCCAAAGAAATATCAAATTGCAATGATGCACACGACATACGTAACACGTCTGAACCTGAATGTAACTCTGCCTTGATACGACTGCTCTGCCGCTCGGCATAGGCATTTAATTGCGAATTGACCAATGAGGGCTCCTGTTTTACGTCGAGACGGCGGCGTTAGCGTGAAAATCACCCGAACCTTTTGTTTACATCCGGTCTATCTCTTATCTGAATATACTGTAGATAAAGACGTAAAGTACAGGTTCATTTCGTCAACATCAGCTTAATCTACTGGAATAGATGACCTGGCTGTCTTATTGCCAAAGTTCATAGCTTCCAAATCTTTCCATAGAGTCTTATAGTTCGTACTCCTAATTTTATGTTCCAAATGAATCTTTCTAGCATTATCAGTTGCTAATTTTGCTAAATTACGTAACTTCTTGTATTCCTCCCATTTCTGATAACACCTTGATCTCCTATAGACAGTGAATGTCTCATCTCTAAGCTTCATTAGATATTTAATATTATCAGTCAGCCACGGAGCTGGTTTTTTCGTAAGGGTGCAAATTTGTCAAATAGCTCTAAAACTAATTGATTAAATATATTTAATTTCGTATCTATATCTGCATAAAGTCTACTTCATCCAGAGCAGTCTTAAAAAATTCTTGGTTGATATTTTTGAAATCTCTGTAGCTACGTAGTACAGGTTGTTTGGTTTCTACCTCATATTCAAGGACTATATTTGGGCGGGTATTCTTGACGATCAGGTAATTGGCCCTTTTGAGTTACCCTCAAAGTTGTCAGGAGAAGGATACCTTAGCTTTCTAGCCAATAACCTACCAGAACTTTTGGAAAGATCTTAGACAACATGCCATTAGAACGGAGACAGAACTTGTGGTTTCTTCATGACGGTGCACCTTACTACACATTTTTAGAGGCGTAATTCAGTATTTTAATGAACATCATCCAAATCACTGGATCGGTCGAAATGCTCCTGATCCTGATAGCCAGCAAGATCTCCTGACCTCAATCCGATGGATTTCTGGCATTGGGGAGAACTTAAAGGCATGATTTATGGGGCTGGTCCAATAACAACTGAAGCACAACTTCAAGAAAAAAATTCAATGCGGCTGAAATAATAAATGGACAACTTCGAGGACCTAGAGTAAGAAGAAACTGGGTTCGGCGTAATGAAGCTTGTGTGGAAAGTGGAGGACGACTTCCTCATTAGCTCTTCTACGCAGACTTGTGTGACTGTTACCTTAGCCTGAAATATGGTTGCTATGTTACCTAGACTAATAAAGATCTCAGCTTCTGACCTCTTCCCCGAGTTATATTGATAGATCTCACTCAGGGTGGTTTGACTGATCCGCAGATATGTATACACTGTAATTATAACGACGCAAACGTGATATTCTGTTCTTGAAACAAATATAATATCTTCAAAGCTTGTTCGGGAAGTAAATCTCTGAAATTGTTTCTTTCCCAAAGCGCCTTTGGGCCGACGGCGAGGACCGTCGAGGTCATGACGTAGCATCAATAATAATGCCTTGAGTGGAATCCATTAAGGGCCTTGTAATTACGTTATGGCATTACTGGCCCTGTATTTACACGGTTTATTCATAAATAATGTCGGTGGACGTGTTGTCTCCATAACGCCGACATTCAAAATTGATAGCATTTACCTATTAGGAACCCACTCCGCAATTAACGGACATTATACAGTGGATACTAAAAACTGTGATGCATTTTTTACCATTTCCTTAGTACTCTAAGCATCTTCCGATTCATAGACACATCTCGTTTTTCGCGAATAATCAGAATGTGGAAGTTAATAGAGTATCAGGTACAAAGTATATTCCTGGATCGACACTTGCGGTGGTATATTCGTTATTCCATCCGTTCCATGCAAGTTATATCCATCATACCCTGTATTTTATATAATATTATAATTATTACCTGGTACTTGCATTTCTTGCTAGCATTGTCGCTAAGCTATGGAATCTTATCTCGCGCCTTGAAGTTCACATGTTAACATCCTCTGTATCAGCATATTATATTTCTACTGCACTGTACTAAATCCATGTGTGAGGAAATTTTGTCACTTCCTGTCTAACCGTCCTGTTTTACGCATCGCCGTGACAAGGTTTCACAAGAGTCCTTTTGTATCGTTAACCAAATAAAGCTTTTTTTTAAAACAAGTATTTCGGTGGCAGTAATTTAACTTGCATACTTCATTGTTCTTGTTCATATACCTACCACGCCAATCTTACCTCCCTTCATCAGGCCCTTCTCTACCGCTACGTCAACGGACCTTGCTCGTCGGAGTTCTTCTCCATGATCGAACTGCGCGTTCAGCCTGTCAGATGGACCCGCTCGGTTTTTGCAACCGATTCCAACTTTGTCGAATCTCACCTACTTTTGACGAATGCCGTACAACTACTGCACTTTCTCAATCCGAGGTGAGAGCAGCTAGATAAGCGTCTCGAGAGCTGAGACTCAGCTGCAGTAAGCAAGGTAAGTGGCTGTATAATTCTCGAGCACACACATACTTATTCTGTAATAACAGGACGAGTTTAGCAGTTAAAATCCCATACGGGTGTTATTAGTCTAGCAACTCTAGCAGCTTACCGAGATTTAAGCACGGCATTTCAGAGACCGTTTTTGTGAAGGAAAGCTTGAGGAAAGAGAAGAGACTTGCAAAGGGACTTTGTACTCGAAGGAGCTTTGAAAAATAGGGAACTTGGGACGTCCGTCCTTTTCACCTGTCCTGTACCCCATATAGTCCCACGTGGTAGCTCTAGTATCAAAACAATCCTACAACTTTTAATTTTGAATAAGGTAGGAAGGGAGGTGACCAGCGCTTTGTGCAAAACAGTCTTCAGAATAATCTATGTGGGTGTCTCCTGATTTTAAATGAGAAATGTTGTTGTTGGAAGAATTTTATTCAGTTTGGCCTTAGTTGTCTCAGTTCCCATGCAAGGCCACCAGACCAAGGAGCCCCCTACTTTACACAGAACAGTTCAGTTTGCAGTCCAGGATCATTCCTAGATTTTTTACTGATTGGGATACAACTAATCTACGAGTACTACTGTAAGATGGCTTGGTATTTTCATGTTGCTATACTAACAGTTCCAAATCCTTCACTCTGGTTTTAAGTAACTGTTCATTGATTGATAGTTCGTTCAGTGGAGATACAAAATCAACGCGACCAATAGTAGAAATCGAGTTCGAGTCGGGCTGCCGTCAGGCTGTTTTTGCTGGTAAAAATGCCTTGAACGTCAAAATAATACACAGCCAAGTATATAAATGCAAATTTACTCCAAAATTTATTATTAATTTAAATTCGACAAAGATTAAATGTATTCGTGCACCTCGTACGTCATTACCAAAAATTCAAAATCATTCACTCCACTTCCTCATCTCCACTATCCAAAGTCTCGCTGGCCACCTCTTCGTAATCCTTCTCCAGAGTTGCCAAGTTTTCCCTAGCCTCAGCGAACTCCCCTTGTTCCATGCCTTCTCCGACGTACCAATGGACAAAGGCCCTCTTTGCATACATCAAATCAAACTTCTTGTTCAGTTTCTGCCAAGCAGATTCGATAGCTGTGGTATTCGATAACATGCAAACCGCTCTTTGGACCGCCGCCAAATCACCACCTTCAACAACTGTGGGGGGTTGGTAGTTGATTCCAACTTTGAACCCTGTGGGACACCAGTCTACAAATCGAACGTTGCTCTTAGCCTTCATCAAGGCTATGGATACGTTGACGTCTTTGGGCACAACATCTCCTCTGTAGAGTAAGCAACATGCCATATATTTGCCTTCCGTTGGGTCACACTTCACCATTTGGTTAGTTGGTTCGAACAGTTCTGCTGTTATTTCTGCAACGCTCATTCCTTCATGGAAAGCCTTTTCGGAAGACACAACTGGTGCATAGGAGGCTAGAGGGAAGTGAATCCTGGGGTAAGGAACTAAGTTGGTTTGGAATTCTGTGAGGTCAACGTTCAGTGCACCATCGAATCTCAAAGACGCTGTTATCGATGATACTACTTGGCTGATCAGTCTGTTTAGGTTTATGTAATCTGGTCTTTCAATTCCTAGCTTTCTCCTGCAGATGTCGTAGATCGCTTCATTGTCTACCATAAAAGCACAATCAGAGTGATCCAAGGTTGAATGTGTAGTTAAGATAGAGTTGTAAGGCTCGACTACAGCAGTGCATACTTGAGGCGCCGGATAGACGACAAACTCCAGCTTGCTTTTCTTACCAAAATCTTGAGACAGCTTCTCCATCAGCAGAGAAGTAAATCCTGAGCCTGTACCTCCACCAAAAGAGTGGAACACGAAGAAGCCTTGCAAGCCATGACAGTTCTCGGCAAGCTTATACAATCTCTCCATAACGATATTGAGCATCTCTTTTCCAATTGTATAGTGGCCCCTAGCGTAGTTGTTAGCAGCGTCTTCCTTACCGGTAATCAGCTGTTCAGGATGGTACAGCTTCTTGTAGCACCCAGTGCGTACCTCGTCAACGACAGTTGGTTCCAAGTCGACCATCACAGCTCTTGGTACCAGTTTTCCATTCTCGACCTCGGAGAAGAAGGTCCCGTAGCAATTATCTGAGACGATTTCCCGAGCTTGAGATATGGTGCCATCGGGTTGTATGCCGTGTTCCAAGCAGTATAGCTCCCATGTCGAGTTACCAATTTGGACTCCAGCTTGGCCGATGTGGACGGAGATGCATTCCCTCATTTTTGGTCACAGGAATTTTCAAGTTCGTACGTAAATTTGGCCAGGGTGCGGATGAAAATTTGCTAATCTGTCATTCAATACTCACGTCAGATTAACAGACGCGGAAGGCATATACGAGGTACGAGCAAAAAAAATCCCGTAATGTACCAGGGAATGAAATTCCTTTCCCAGAGTTTTTAAAGTAAAACGATGATCTATACTAAGTGACATATAAATCCGAACACCCAGTGTAAATGGTTTTATTTTAATAAAAGTTTATGAATGTATTTATCTTACTGTAAATAACAAGTGAAAAAATTTTCAACCTTATCAGTTGGACATTCCGGTTTTTATACTGCTTTTTTTAAATTCACCAACGCTCTAAAAATAAATACTTCAGCCGCAGTAAATAATCAACGTTGGCGGATTATGGTTCTTGACATCCTTTACGATCGGTTACGATGCCTAGAGTACGGAGACCTGTACGATTTCGTCAACTTAGTGAGTTTGATAGGGGCCGTATAGTGGGACTTCGGGAAGCTGGACTTTCTTTTCGGGCAATTGCAGTTAGAGTGCAAAGAAGTGTAGACACTGTGGTTAGGTGTTGTCAGACATGGCTTCGAAAAGGCCGTACGCAAAAAGCAAGGGGCACTGGACGCCGCCGTAGAACAACAGACCGTGAAGATCGCCGCCAAAGATTATTGGCCTTAAGGGACCGTTTCTCCACTACCAGGTCCATTGCAAATGAATGGTTTGCAGAACACGGAAGACCTATTGGCATGCGAAGTGTTTACCGACGAATGAGAAGTTTTGGCTTGTTTTCATACCGGCCACACTGGGTCCTCCCTTTAACTCGAGAACACCGACGTAATCGCCTTGAGTGGTGCAGACAACGGTCACTCTGGGATCAGGAATGGAACAGTATTGACGAGTCTCGATTTTGTTTAGGCATGCACGATGGTCGTGCCAGGGTTAGAAGGCGACGTGGTGAAAGGAGGAATCCACAGTTTTTTGTTGAAAGACATGTTCATCAAACTGTTGGAGTTATGGTTTGGGGTGCTATAGCTTATGGTTCCAGGTCACCTGAACGCACAGCGTTATATCCACGAAGTTCTAGAACCCCATCTTTTACCCTATCTTGACACCCTGGCAGATCCAACTTTCCAACAAGATAATGCCTGACCACATGTTGCAAGAGTCACAATAGACTTCTTTCAACATAATGATGTCACATTGTTACCATGGCCACCAAGATCTCCCGACTTGTGCCCAATTGAGCAAGTGTGGGATATGATGGGTAGGAGATTGCTCAATTTGCAACGTCCTCCTCAGACTCTTGAAGCACTTCGAGAGGAGTTGGTGGTTGCCTAGAATGAGATACCACAGGAGGACATTGACCACCTGATCAGAAGCATGCCTAGGCGCGTTGGAGAATGCGTAGCACATCAGGGTGCATCCACACATTATTTAAGGTCAAAGGGCTTTAAAGCAGTGCAATCATTTTGAAATTTTCATCATTTACTTATTATGCTTCATTAAGTACTTATACAAAATTTTATTAAAATAAAACCATTTAAACTGGGTGATCGGATTTATATGTCACTTAGTATACGTAGTCATGCCATAAGTTCTGTCCCTCGTTTTCAAACAAGTGTAGACCTGTTAATACTTGTCCGATTGTTTACATTGTGGTGTCAGTTGATTAAGCGCTTTTCGGGTAATTACATATACCTCAGTTTGTATTGATCTCTCGAAGCATAACGATGGAGTGGGGCAAGGCAGAGAACCGTATTGCAGTGATAGCTTTACATAAGTGTAATCACAGTGCTAGTCAGATTTTTGAACTCTTACGCGGCCTTCAAATATCGCAAAATTTGTGTCTAGGACCATTCAGCGGTACAATGAGACGTCCTCTGTTGATGACAGGCCAAGAAGCGGAAGACCTCGTCAAGTAAGGACTCCAGCAGTCATCAAAGCCGTAAAAGCCAGGATTCAAAGGAATCCACTCCGGAAGCAGAAGATCCTATCCAGGGAAATGAAGATTCCTGTCCGGACGATGTCGCGCATCATTAAACAAGACCTAGGGCTAGGGGCTTACCGGAGACGTACGGGCCAGCGACTTACGGCCACCTTGCGACACATCAGGGCGACAAGATCCAAGAAGCTCTTGGAGAGGTACGCAGCTGGGGGATTCCGAAAGATTTTGTTCACGGATGAGAAAATCTTCACCATAGAAGAAAAATTCAACCGACAAAATGACAAAGTGTATGCAAGGAGTTCACAGGAAGCTTCGGAGATCATTCCGAGAGTTGAGAGAGGCCACCACCCTGCGTCAGTCATGGTTTGGTGGGGGGTGTCCTACGAAGGGGTCACTCAGCTCCATTTCTGTAAACAGGGCGTGAAAACAAAAGCGGCAAACTATCAGAGCGACATACTGGATCCTATCGTCAAGCCTTTAAGTGGTACATTGTTTGCCAACCAACACTGGGTCTACCAGCAGGATTCCGCCCCCGCTCACAAGGCTAAGAGTACGCAGCGCTGGCTGGAAAGCAATGTGCCAGAGTTCATTGCTGCGGAAGATTGGCCCTCAGGGAGTCCGGACCTCAATCCTTTAGACTACAAGTTGTGGGACCTGCTAGAGCAGTTGGCCTGCTCCAAAGCCCACCGTAATATCGAGTCCCTGAAAGCGGATTTGATCCGATCAGCGGCAGCTATTCCTTTGGAAGCTGTGCGTGCAGTGATAGATGAGTGGCCCGCGAGATTGAAGCAGTGTGTGAAGGCCAAGGGGGGACATTTTGAATAAAACTGTTTGATTATGAATTCTAAAAATGTTGTCGAATAAATAATATCTTTCATATAAATATATCTTATCTTGTTTCATTTTTATCATGAGATTATCATGGGACAGAACTTATGGCACGACTACGTATATTGATTCTATTTTTCTTGTTTGTGGGCGAAGAGATAAGCTTATTCTTAACACGCTTATATTAGCTTGGAATGATTGTAACATTTAGGTTCTAGCAGCTCAATTGACGAACACGTGGCTAGCATACAACAAATATTATTTGATCTCTGAGATATGGAAATGATTTTTTCACACTGATTCACTTACTAAAAATATAGGGAGGTTACGATTTTAATTGAGACATAAGCTGTGTATATTCGCATGGAATTTATTTCAAATTATAAAGGACTTAATTGTGTAAATAATTGGAAATTATGTTTGCATCATCTGCATTGTTGATTGTTTTATCGGTACAGTATTTCCACATGCAGATAACAGGGAAGTAATCAACCCCTAGCCCCAATGTTTCGCATCATCAGAAATGAATATATTCCAGTTGAAATTATTCTAGCGCCTTCAAGAACAGTATTTCTTTCTCAAGCGATTTAAAATTTTGCTTCCCAGATCATTCCTTTGAGAAATAGCAGAAGGAAAGAATGGCATCATAAAGGATTATTGTTGGTACAAGCTTACCCATTCTAGAAAAAAGTTATTCATTCATTACCAATTCAATACTGGAGTGCGTCTATGAATGCATTTAAAGGAACAATTTGCTATTGGCAGATAACTGTATAGTAGGGTGATAGTTCTTTTTTTCAAACAAATACCCTCTAACTTTGCCTGAACAATGTAAATTAATTATGATTGATTGTTCAACCACCTACTAGCGTCATAAATAGGTATTTTTGATTCTGACATAATATCTAGACGATGAATAATAGGTGGATACTTTTAACAATATCGATGTTTTAGGACCCAGAAATGCAGAATGTGCTGTTTGTTTACATTCGGTGTAGATTTCTAGTTCATAAATTGGCAAAAATTGTTTTTGATGTAACAAAAGATGACTGGAATACGTTTTATATCCTTTGTTTGCCAAATAACAAAAATCGGTACATTTCTACAGGTACGTATTTTGTACAACACCATGTACGTAATATACAGACAAAATTATATTGCCGTGCATGAACAGTCGTCAAAAAAGTGGAAATATCCTAATAAATATAATAGCTAGAATATCGACGTATTATTTCCATCATTTTCATTGGTCCATTTAAATAACTGTGAATTTGAAATTCTATGAAAGTTATCCTAATTCTAAAGCACAAAGACATAATATTACATCTATAATAATAATAATAATAATAATAATAATAATTAACGTCTTTTATTTGTAATATTCTTACAGGAGGCGAGATTTAGATTATATATATATATATATATATATATATATATATATATATATATATATATATATAATGTACCCTTATTTATAAGAAAACAGTTTTTTCACGACTTTATTCAATATTTCAATAGTAATCACTGATATCACTGATCAACAGCCAAAAAATATCCTAAATAAAATCAACAAAATATTACTATTTTTAATGTGCTAAAACCGGAATGAAACTTATTTTTTCAATATTAGTTCAAGTTTTAGAGATACGGTAATTATATGTGTTCCTGCTGTGACAGTGTTAATATACTGTAATTCACAAGAATGCACGTGCTACATTTTTATATTCGGCAAGGAAAGATGATGTAATCGGCATGATTGTGTTACGTTATACATACGTGTACATCATATTGTTTTATATCAGCCATTTTTTCCTCAGTTGGCTGACAGCGTTCATGCAAGATGTCTCGAAAGTGTGTAAACAATCCAGATCAGTTTTGTTACGTGTGTGGTGATGTGACTTTTGCGTCTCAGAGACGGTCTATTACTCCACTAATAACAAAGGCATATCAGCTTTATTTCGGTTGTAAACTAGGTGATCAAGACAAACAGTGGGCACCCCACATCTGCTGTAATACATGTGCTTCAAGTCTGAGGAGCTGGTTAAATGGCAAAAAACGGTCTATGCGCTTTGCTGTCCCAATGGTTTGGAGAGAGCCTACAAAGCATATTAATGATTGTTACTTTTGCATGGTACCTTGTGTTGGACAAGCCACAGGTATGTCCAAGAAAAAAAAATCGGTTATTAACTACCCAAACATACCATCTGCGATGAGACCTGTGCCTCACAGTGACGAAAATCCTATTCCAAAACCCCCAGAATCCTACACTTGCGAATCAGAAAACGAATCATATCATGGCGATCGAGTGATTCGTCAGGAAGAAGCTATG